ATACAAATCAAACCAAACACAACCCAATATCCCAAGTCCAAGACTCCTTTGTCTCTACTAGTATCTGCTTTTAAAGGAGCGTCTGAACCACAGCGGCAGGTGTAGGCAATGAACTGCAGATTGAGGTGAGTCGTAGGCGGAGCTACAAATCACCCAAATTCCAACGGGAACCGTCACACCCCTCCCCATAAGACAGGGACTCCCACAAAGATCCCTGTAACAAACATAGTAAAATACAAAACAATCACATAGTATACACAAAACCAACACTAAAGACAACTCCCAAAACACCGGGGGGGTTGACACCAAAAATAAATCCAATAGCTACATCATGTACTTGGAATGCGCGACAGCGCATCCGCTACCACATTTTCTGATCCTCGAACGTGCCGAATATCCAAGCAGAAAGACTGCAAAAACAGGGACCACTGGATCAACCTTTGATTCGGACACTGTAGAGAATTCAAAAAGGTCAGAGGATTATGATCTGTATATATCACAATTGGTGCACTGGAATTAAGATAAACAGCAAAGTGCTGCAATGCCCAAATAAGGGCTAATGCTTCTTTCTCAAATACAGAGTAGTGTCGCTGATAAGAATTAAACTTCCTCGAAAAGAAACTGACTGGATGATCGACACCTTCCGCATCGGACTGCTGCAGAGCAGCCCCAGCTCCCACGTTACTGGCATCAACATGCAACGTGAACGTTTTATCGAAACACGGTGCCAGAAGCACAGGTGCTGAACACAGCAAGGACTTAACATTTTCAAAAGCCAGTTGGCAACTAGAAGACCAGACGAACTTTGTCTTACTCTTTAATAAATCCGTAAGAGGTGCCACTACGGTGGAGAAATTACAACAAAAAGATCGGTAGTATCCTACCAATCCTAAAAACCGCATAAGCTCTTTTTTTGTCGTGGGGGGAGTCCTGGATGGCCTGTACCTTCGCCTGCACCGGACACACTTTACCATTCCCTACCACCTTACCGAGGTACGTCACGTTTGCTTTAGCGAACTCACATTTTGCTAAGTTCACTGTAAGCCTAGCATCAGATAAACGTTGCAACACTACACGAAGGCGCTTTAAATGAGATTCCCAACTGTCACTAAAAACGACCAAATCGTCCAAGTAGACAGCACAACCCTCAAGACCCGAAATTACTCGGTTCATGAGGCGCTGAAAAGTAGCCGGAGCATTTCGAAGACCGAAACTCATAACCTGATAAGAGAATAGCCCGGACGGTGTAACAAAAGACGATATTTCTTGTGCTCTCTTTGTTAAAGGCACTTGCCAATAGCCCTTCAGCAAGTCAAACTTGCTGACGAACTTGGCTGACCCAACCTGATCAACGCAACCATCAATGCGGGGCAGAAGGAAACAGTCTGGTTTAGTTAAGCTGTTGACTTTGCGAAAATCTGTACAGAATCTAACTGTACCATCTGACTTTCCCACTAATAAACACGGAGAAGCCCAATCAGAGGACGAAGGTACCGCAATATTGTGATCCTGCATATACTTGATTTCCTTCTCCATTAATTCCCGTTTCTCAGGTGCAACACGGTGAAAACGCTGTTTGATAGGCTTTGCGTCCCCCACATCAATATCATGCTGCACCCAGTACGCGAAGGCACATCTCCAAACAATTCAGGAAATCTACGTAACAACTGACATAACTCCTGACATCTTTCATGAGACAAATAACAGAAAATAAGTTCTAAGTTCTTCAAGGACTCAGAATTTTTTAAGCGACCGCGGAACACACAATCATCAGGTGAAATGGTCTCCTCTTCCTCCCCCACTAAACTCACCTTACCCCCACTAACAGATACTGAAGAAAGTACTGAATGCACAGATGTCCGATTCATTACAGATTTGGTCTTATTTTCATAGTATGGTTTTAATAAGTTTACATGGTACCATTTAACTGACTTTTTCCGTGATGAAGTTATAACTTCATAATTTTCATCACTCACCTTGCGTTGCACAACAAACGGGCCATCAAATTTGGCTTCGAAAAGAGAAGTTACTATTGGCCGGAGTACCAGAACTTGATCTCCTGGTTCAAACACTCGACGTTCAACTGTACGGTCATACAATCGCTTCATATTTTGTTGATGTTTTTCAAGGTTTACTTTTGCGAGTTCTCTTGCCTGAATGAGTCTGTTCTTGAACCCCAAAACATATGATGACAAATTTTTCGGAGGCTCCGCAACTTTACCAGCCTCTTGAAAAACAGACAATAAACCACGAACTTTATGGCCAAAGACTAAATCATTAGGACTAAAACCCGTAATTTCCTGTACTACTTCGCGAGCAGCTAACATCATCCAGGGTAAACCCTCTTCCCAATCTCGATCTAACTGCACACAATATGCTTGAAGCAGCGATTTTAAGGACTGATGAAATCTCTCCAACGCACCCTGACTTTGTGCGTGGTACGCAGTAGATTGATTATGCTTAATGTGCAGCTGTTTCAGAACCTGCTGAAAAAGATGAGAAGTCAGGTTTGAACCTTGGTCACTTTGGATGGTTTTTGGAATTCCAAAGACAGATATAAATTGAGTTAACACTCTCACAATAGAACGCGATGTAATACTACGTAATGGATATGCTGCCAGAAAACGTGTGTTCAAACACATCACGGTAAACAAATAATTGCTTCCAGACTTCGAACGAGGAAGTGGCCCGACACAATCAACAATGAGATGTTCAAAAGGTTCGCCAACAGCTTGAATTGGTTTCAGAGGTGCAGGTTTCAACACTTGATTCGGCTTACTGGTTAGCTGGCAGGTCTTACATTTTTTTATATAAACAGAGATGTCTCGTTTTAGACACGGCCAAAAAAAATATTGCAGCAAGCGATCATAAGTCTTACGCACGCCCTGATGACCTGATTGATCATGTGCAATTTCGATCACTGCATGTCGAAACTTAACAGGAACCACCACCTGGAAGACAGGATCCCCAACCAAGTCACCTTTGTGAGGAATCCATTTCCTCAGTAACACTCCATCACTGACAAAATATTCATGAGCAAGGTTACCGATTTCTGCTTGACTTCGTTCCGTTTCATTTTTATTATTAGCAGTAACTATAGGGAACACTGAACTGTCAGCCCATACACGCTCACCTACTAGTCCGTTTCCTAAAATAATATGAACTCCTTCAATTGGCAAGGCTGGTCGTACTCCCACTACAACCTCACCTTGAATCAATTCAGACTGAAGTCTTACCTTATGAAGAGGCACAGACAGAACATTCAGTCCTATTCCCCTAATTAACACATTCTCACCAGTATGGGATAGCGAGGAAAACGGCAGAACAGATTGCAAGATGAATGAATCCATTGATCCAGTATCCCGTAATATTTTAACAGGGACTTCTTTCTCATCTCCTAAAGATACATAACCTTCTGTAATGAAAGAGGAGTAAGAAGACAAAAATTCAACATCGGGTTTTTGATCTTCAAACATTTCAATTCCTTCAGACAGAACTGGTGCCACCGAAGCGGCAGGCTTAACAGGTGAATAGTACTCCCACTACAACCTCACCTTGAATCAATTCAGACTGAAGTCTTACCTTATGAAGAGGCACAGACAGAACATTCAGTCCTATTCCCCTAATTAACACATTCTCACCAGTATGGGATAGCGAGGAAAACGGCAGAACAGACTCCAAGATGAATGAATCCATTGATCCAGTATCCCGTAATATTTTAACAGGGACTTCTTTCTCATCTCCTAAAGATACATAACCTTCTGTAATGAAAGAGGAGTAAGAAGACAAAAATTCAACATCAGGTTTTTGATCTTCAAACATTTCAATCCCTTCAGACAGAACTGGTGCCACCGAAGCGGCAGGCTTAACAGGTGAATATGCTACAGTTAGTTTGGATTTATTCTTAAGGACTGGACAATCCAATTTCCTTTCTCCCGGCAGTAATTGCATATTTTACTCGGGTCAAATTTTCCCGTGAAAACACGGTCATTTTTAGATGGAGACTTTACAGAGGTAGCAGACTGAACATCATGAACATGCACATCAATAAAAACGGATTTGTGCATCAGTACAAAGTCATCGGCTAATGTCGCCGCTTCCTCAGGAGTTTCAACATTGTGCTCATTGATATATATGGCGACACGACTCGGAACTGTGTTTTTAAATTGTTCTAGAACCATCAAATGACTTAAATCTTCAAATGTCTTAATGTCTAGTGCTGTACACCAACGATTAAAGTTTCTCCTCAAATCTCTGACAAATTCTAAATGAGTTTGTACCTCTTCTTTTTTCTGCAAACGAAAACGCTGTCTGTATGCTTCTGGTACGCATTCATATGCCTTTAAAATTACAGATTTAACTTTATCATAATCTCTACAGTCATCGACCGACATTGAAGAGAAAACTACTTGTGCTTTCCCGGTTAACACACATTGTAGCAAAGCAACACAATTATCGATAGACCAGTCCCTCATTTCTGCCTGTCTGAGATTACATGAAGAAACACAACAAACTGAGACGAACTGTGACAACGTCTCCAAGATGCTTCAAGAAACCTACCTGCAAAGCTACCTGAAAAACTATGCACAAGTGCACTTAGGGCAAAAGCTGCTTTAAATGCAAATGATGCAAATGTTGATTTGGTTGCACTTTATTTTACAGTATGTGCAATTACCTACCTAAGAAAGTACTAGTAATATATGGTAACTACATGGGGTAGGTTTAGGTTTAGGGGTAGGTTCAGGGTTAGTACCTAGTTTTTACCTTGTTATTACTATAAGTATGTACATGAGTAACAGGACTGTAAAATAAAGTGCTACCGTTGATTTAATTTAGTTAATAGGAGTTAATTGATAAAGAAAATCTATTTATGACATTATTTTTGACAGTATCGTCCTTTTACAGCATTTTTACACAAGTGCCTAAAACCTTTAACAGTACTGTAGCTTTGCAGGTAGGTTTCTTTAAGCATCTTGGAGACGTTACCACAGTTCTTCTGGATTTAGTCTGTCTCAGTTTGTTCTGCATTCTCAGAAAAGAAGGTACAAAAGCTGTCACTGGGGTAGTACCTTTTCAAAAGGTACACTTTTGTACCTTTTAGGTACTAATATGTACACTTTAGGTACTAATATGTACCTTTAAGGTACCAATATGGACTGTTTAGGTACAAAGGTGTGCCTTTTGAAAAGGTACCGCCCCAGTGACAGCTTTTGTACCTTTTGTTCTGAGAGTGTGTTTCTTCATGTAATCTCAGACAGACTGGATGATGATCAGATCAGATCTCTGTGTGGAGCACTGGCTGTTGTCAGACTCCTTGTGCAAACAAAAATCTCACTGGGTTATTACAATTAATGGCAAAATGAGTGTTTGGAAATGTAAACTGTTATTTCCTAGTGACACACTACAGCAAAAGATAGAAATAACTGAAACCATTTTTTTTAGCTGGTGAAAATACTAGTGTTCAATTATTTTGGCCACCACTGTAATTTTAAAACAGACTACAAAAAAATGAAACACTGTTCTGATCACAGTTTGTATTTGTTGCATACAGTATATCACATGCACAGACTTTCACGTACTAATATGCAGTCTGTGTAGTCACTCATCCTGCCCACATATTAAAAAACTGGGGTGGTGATTTAATGACTAAAGGATGGCATCTTTAGGAAGATCTATGAAAATGTCTGTTAATGCATTTTTAATGTTTTTAATCCTTTATTAACCCTATATTTTTCAATTCTAGGAATCACACTATGGGACAAAGAGCAGCTGCAGCAGAGTATACGTGCTCATCCTCAAATTAATACAGGTCTCAGTGTTACAGCTTCAGACTCCATTGAGGAAAAATCTCACTTACTGAACATTGACGGTTGTCTAAAATTGAGTCTTTTAAGTGGACTTGTCAATGTAAGTGGAGCAGCCAAGTATCTTAGTGACACCAAGAAGTCATTCAAACAACAGAGACTGACCTTACATTATCATTCAACTACCAGGTTTGAAGCACTGACCATGAATCACTTGGCTTCTGGAAATATAGCTCACTACGAAGTGTTTGATAATGATACAGCCACACATGTGGTGACAGCTGTGCTGTATGGGGCAAATGCTTGCTTTGTTTTTGATAGAGAAGTTTCATCAGATGAAAACAAGAGCACTGTAGAAGGAGAAGTAAAAGCTGCCTTTGAGAAACTAAAGGGCATTTCAATAGGTGCACAGATTGATATGAGCATGAATGAAAATCAAAAGACTGCCATTCAAAAATTCAGTTGCACATTTTACGGTGACTTCCAGCTACCATCTAATCCAGCCTCTTTTGAAGATGCTTTGAGGGTTTTTGCTGATCTTCCAAAACTGCTGGGAGACAACAAAGAACTTGCAGTTCCATTGAGAGTTTGGCTTTATCCCTTGGACAAACTACATTCATCTGCTGCAAAACTTCAAAAAGAAATCCACACAAGTCTAATCAGAAATCTTGAATCAGTAATCGAGAGCTTAAACATCACTGAAATGAAATGCAGTGACCTTCTGAAGGACGCACCTTCTTTGGCTTTTGCAGGATTTCGTAATAAAATCATGCACATGAAGCAAAATTGCTCTGCCTATAAGTTGAGTCTCATGAAGAAACTTGGCTCTCTTTTGCCAAAAATCCGTGGGGACTTGGAAAAGGAAACTGCTTTGAACGGCCCTGATTGATCTTCTTCGTGATCATGATGAATGTCCATTCAGAGGAAGTGATCTTGAACAATGGTTCAAAGAGAAAGAAACAGAATCACTCACAATTAAATCATTACTTAGACAACTGAATGATACTGGAGCAAAGGTGGAAGAGAATCTGGATGAGATTTTGATGGATCTTGATGTTGAAAATGTGGTTAGCTACACTTTCCCATCATTTGAGTGGCCAGATGTGCTCCTTTCTAAGCAAAAGGCCTTCCTGAGTCTATCAGCACAAGACAACAATGACGGAAATGCACCGGATCCTGAACAAAACACTGTGTTCACTCCTAACGTCAAAATGACTATGAGGAGAAACCTGACAATCTTTAAAAACCTGATCAAATCAAATACATGTAAATCAACTAAATTTATTGTCGCATCAAAAGAGATGAAAAACCTTCCAGTTTCCTGCATTCTCCTGTATGAAAATGGATCTGAGGAAGCCACTTGTTTCACTCCTCCATTAAAACCATCCTGCCCAGTCATTGAACAGATCACAAGTGACAGAGTGGTTTTGAAGGTGTCTTCATCATGTCCTGCAACAGAAAAGCTCAGCTTACTGTACAAAATGAAGGAAGTGAAGGGCTGGAAATATCAGTCTGTGCTACAGGGACAAAGTACAGTTACTCTGACAGATCTCAGACCAGACACTGAGTATGAGGTCAAATGTGCAGCCGTGGGGAAACTGGACTACTCCGTAGACAGTGATGTCATCAGAGTTACTACACACCCAGGCAAAAGCAGAGAGGTATGATGTGTATTCATGAAATACCAACTAATACCACTTCTCCATACAGAAATCGATTCATTTTTGCAATATTTGATAATAATTTGAATTTAATATTTTTGCAATAAAACTGATATTTCCTACTGGCACACCAAAACAAAAGATATAAATAACCATTTTAAATGATTTTGTGAAATGTCTAATAAAACCGTAGGCAACAGCAAATAGCTTGGCAGGTTGTCATGGAGAAAGAGTAAAATTTGTGCAGGGAGCTGATCAGTATAATTTTATCATAGGTGTTCATGGTCTTCTCTGATGATGAGAAGTTCTTAATCAGAGGGAAACGAAGTAAATAATTGTATACCACTAATAATCTGAAACAACATCTAGTGTTTGTAGATTCAAGAGGCCAGCTACTTTAGCACTCGAATTGTACAAAGCTCAGAAGTGTCAGCAAACCTTGCAGAAAACTTTACTTTAACTGCTAAAGTTGCTAAATACCAAACTATGTGGTGATTTCATAATAGGTGTGGTCTAGGGCTCTGGCTTCTTTGATGTAGAAATCTTCTCCAGTAACAGTATCCAGCTAACAAAAATATATTCCAAGAATGTTTTGTTAACATTCCCACTAAGTTATATAAACATTATTTCTGAATGTTTTGTAAACGTTTAAACAGTCCAGTTTTTTAATGTTTGAGGAACATTCTAATCTACCATTGTCATAACGTTATGAGAAACTTATATTTTAATGTTCTCTCTATGTTTGAAACACCCATATTTTGTTATGAGAATGTTTTTTACAGATTATACAAACGTTCCCTTTGATCTTTTATATCGGTTATGACAACGTTATTTCTAGATGTTTTGTAAACATTCGAAATGTCCAGTTTTTTTATGTTTGAGGAACATTTTTTGTTTATGTGAACGTTACAGGAACATCTCAATCTACCATTGTCATAACGTTATGAGAACCTTATTTTTGAATGTTCTCTCTACGTTAAAAACACCCATATTTTATGTTATGAGAACATTTTTTTAATGATTATATAAACGTTGGACAAACATTCCCTTTGATCTTTATACCTGTTATAACTGTTATTTCTGAATGTTTTTGAACTATCAAAATGTCCAGTTTATCTACATCAAGAAATAACTTTTCCTCATGGTAATGTGAATGTTAAAGAACCACTCCATTCTAACATTCTGAATACATTATGAAAACATATCTGAATGTTCTTTTAACATTTAAAAAACAAATTTTTATACTCCGTGAATGTTTTATAGGCTATGTGAGCATTAACGGAACTAGGGGTCCTATTATGCTTTTTCTCTTTTTCAACTTTAGTTAGTCTGTAATGTTGCTGTTTGAGCATTAAAAAGATCTGCAAAGTTACAACGCTCAAAGTCCACTTCAAAAGGAGATATTTTATTTAACAGAAATCACTTTTCAAAAACTACAACGAACGACTCGTTTGGACTACAACGCATATTTTCTGGGATTTGTGATATCACAAATATCGACGAATGGGACGAGACCTGGTTGAGCTGCACTAGAGAAGGCAACGAGTGTTATCACTATGTCGGAGACACGCTAGCTTTCCCAAGGCAGACGAACTTAGAGTGGTTACAATCATCCGGGTTTAAATCGTGCTCAAATTGATTTGATTTTGACTCAATATTTACACTGAAGCTTGCAGCAGGCGGCCGCGGCCATCTAAAAGGGGCGTGACATTTCCCGACCAGGCGCCGAGTGCTGCCAATCACAACACACACTGGCCCAGCTAACCAATCACAACACATTTCGTATTTCAGAAGGCGGGCCTTCATTTGATACAGGAACTATTTCGAGCCGTTCATGCCAGACTGGGGAAAGAGGAGTTGTAATACGTTCATGCCAGACTGGGGAGAGAGGTGTGGTAATAATGTAAAATATGTGAAAAATAATGTGTTTTTCGAACAACCTAGTATGAGAGCCTGTTCTAGTACACCCCCAAAACAAAATCAAGACTTTGTAAAAGAGCATAATAGGACCCCTTTAACATAGGGCTGGACAATAATTAAATAATATGTATCGCGATATAATTTTTTTTCAATAAATGTGATATTATTTTTAAACACATTTCCGATATTTCGATATACATTACCAGTGTTTCCCATACGTTGATTTATTTGTGGAGTTTGACTTCGTTGAATAAACATGAGCACTGCACGTTTCAAAATCAAAACACGTGGCGGGTGTTTTATGAATGTATCTCTGAAGGGAACCGTTCAAAATCAAAACGCGGGGCGGGTGTTTTATGAATGTATCTCTGAAGGGAACCGACTGTCTTCAGAAAAGTTTTGGCATTTTCATTTTATCTGATAAAGAAGCGTTCATGAGCAGAGCTGCTTTGAAGCCGTTACTGGGGAAACCGCTAGTTCTATCACTCTCAAAGCGCCTCATTCTAATATGCTGATTTGCTGATTATCAATATTTAATACAGTTGGGTACATTTTTTCAGGATTCTTTGATGAATAGAAAGATCCAAAGATCAGCATTTATCTGAAATAAAAAGCTTTTGTAACATTATACCTTATTCTATTCAAAAGCCTGGAGTCAGTATAATTACTGCACGTTTCAAAATCAAAAAATGTCGCGGGTGTTTTATATAAATGTATCTGTGAAGGGAACCGACTGTCTTCAGAAAAGTTTTGGCATTTTCATTTTATCTGATAAAGAAGCGTTCATGAGCAGAGCTGCTTTGAAGCCGTTACTGGGGAAACCGCTAGTTCTATCACTCTCAAAGCGCCTCATGCTGGCAGAGAATCAGTTTGCATTTTCAATAATAAGCCCGTCTCCAGCAACATGATTTTGTTGTTGCTCTTTTTGTTTGTTTGTTTTTGTTTTTGTTTTTTTCCTGCAGCAACTCAGGGTTGGAGTAATGATGCTAAAAATTCAGCTTTGAAATCACAGGAATAACTTACATTTTAAAATATTTTCAAATAGAAAACATTTAAATAAAAAATTAAATATAAACATATTTCAAAATGTTACTGTTTTTGCTGTAATTTGGATCAAATAAATGCAGGCTTGTTGAGCAGAAGAGAATTCTTTATTTTTTTTTTAGAATTCTCTTCTGCTCACCAAGCCTGCATTTATTTGATCCAAAGTACAGCAAAAACAGTAAAATTATGAAATATTTTTACTATTTAAAATAACTGCTTTTTATTAGACTATATTTTAAAATATAATTTATTTCTGTGATGAAAGCTGAATTTTCAGCATCATTACTCCAGTTTTCAGTGCCACATGATCCTTCAGAAATCATTCTAATATGCTGATTTGCTGATTATCAATATTTAATACAGTTGGGTACATTTTTTCAGGATTCTTTGATGAATAGAAAGATCCAAAGATCAGCATTTATCTGAAATAAAAAGCTTTTGTAACATTATACACTACACCATTCAAAAGCTTGGAGTCAGTATGATTTCTTTATTTATTTAATTTTTTTGGGAAATAAATGATAGAAAATACTTTTATTCAGCAAGGATGCTTTAAATTGATCAAAAGTGATGATAAAGGCATTTATAATGTTACAAAAGATTTCTATTTCAGATAAATAGTGTTCATAACGATATCGGAATTATATCGTATCGACCGAAATTAAGAAATATATCGTGATATCAATTTAGGCCATATCGTCCAGCCCTACTTAGGCATACAATGTTTTTTGAGCAGCAAATCAGAATATTTGAATGATTTCTGAAGGATCATGTGACTGGAGTAATGATGCTAAAAATTCAGCTTTGAAATCACAGGAATAACTTACATTTTAAAATATTTTCAAATAGAAAACATTTAAATAAAAAATTAAATATAAACATATTTCAAAATGTTACTGTTTTTGCTGTAATTTGGATCAAATAAATGCAGGCTTGTTGAGCAGAAGAGAATTCTTTAAAAAACATAAAAATCTCACTGTTCAAAAACTTTTGACTGGTAGTGTATGTTAGCCTGAAGGTTGGTTAGTTTGAAGTTAAAGATATCAACATTAATAAGGGGAGTCTGAGATGTTAATTTGACAGTGATTTCACATTTCTTGTTTATATGAAGGCTAAATAAAATAAAAAATTTAACATTAATTTATTTGTGCTGTTTTTTTTTTAACCTAAAATATGATATAGTTTTATGGGAGGAGGTTTCATAGACTTGGCAAATAAATTTTTCATAAGTTTGTAGGCATGTACCTGTTTGTAGGCATTCTTGGCAGTTTTTATGAGGCTTTTTTAATAGTGTTCATATCGATATCATAATTATATCGTGTCTACTGAAATTAAGAAATATATCGTGATAGGCCTATACATTTTAGCCATATTGTCCAGCCCTATACTTAACATTTTATCACTATGCAAATATCCTTCAAACATTGCCCCAAGAACTCGTTTTCAAATAATCAAGAGTTTAACGATTTATTTTAGCGACGTACAAACATGGCGATCATCACACACTCACAGGTAGGCCTACAATGAGACCTGCTGTGTGAGTAAGATTAATGAATCACTGGGAGCGCAACAAAGCGCGTTCAAATGACATAAAAAAATGAACCTGCTGCATTACATTTACATTCGGTCACCACTAAAAATAAAAATATATATAGCTGCAAGCAGCAATTACGGGGCCAAGCACTCCAAAGGCAAAATGAGGAGCTAAGCATGGCATGGAGCATCCGACCAAATGCAACAATGAGTAATAAAAGCAATTTTAGGATGATTGTAATTGAAACCTCTAGGAATATGATTAAATGGCTGAAAAATCAAAAATAAAACCTCTAGGAATATGATTAAATGGCTGAAAAATCAAAAATACAACCTCTAGTAATATGATTAAATGGCTTATCACTTTTGACCAACAAGTGGTGCTGTAATCAAATCATTTTGGTGTGTTCTGTGTGAGGTGTCAATGGCACACACAACGTTTGTTGTCATTATGTCAAAGCTTTGCAGAGATACAACCTCAGAGTCATTTTGGCACCGTGCCTCAAATTTGTAGCGGCGCTGTACAGCTGTTTCGTCTATCGACACGAAATCCCTAACTTTTTGTCAGCATGGTCTGAAGATGATATGATTCGAATTTGGTGAAAATCGGACGAACGGTCTAGGAGGAGTTTGAAAAAGTAGGTTTTTAAAGAAAATCAAAATGACGGACAGGAAGTTTGGCTGACTATGGTATCACTTTTCTCAGCATGACCCAAGGAATCTATTAATACCAGTCTCATTACAATAGACAAAATTCACAGAAAGCTATTAGCATTTATTTGAAATTTCATTTTAACTTTTGACCACAAGGTGGCACTGTATCAAAACTTTTAGAGTACTTTCAGGTCATGGTCTCGATGGTACATACAAAGTTTCGTAATGGTACACCAATGCATTCGTAAAATATAGCATTTTATATCATAATACTC